CTTTTTAAGTGCTGGTCATAGCCCACTGACCCACTGCCATCGAGTCACTTCCTACTCATAGCGACCCTACAGGACAGATTAGAACTGTCCCATAGGGTTTCCAAGGCTGCAGTCTTTATAGAAGCAGACTGCCACATCTTTCTCCTGAGAAACAGCTGGTGAGTTCGAACCACCGACCTTCTGGTTAACAGCCAAGCACTTAACCACTGCACCACCAGGCTCTCATGGCCCCTAAACTGATATTATGCCCCAGTAATGGATTGTGACCAGCAGTCTGGAAAGGGGAACCATGAAGATGGAATGAGAGAATGCATGTAACTTGTCTGGCACAGCACCTGCTACATAGTATGCAATCAATACCTGTGAATTGAAAGTACTGTCTTTCCACTTGTAGTTACTATTGCTACTTCAGAGACCCCTGAAGCCAGGGAGGGGTTGGCGTTCTGACCCAGGGACGTAGGTTCGTATCGAAGCACCCAAACAAAATCCTAACTCATCCCAACTCAGGTCACTGGGGGCTGGAGAGATTGCTCATGGCGATATCCAAAAACTTTGTTTTCCAACAGCTGGGGAGAATAGTACTGGGAAGACAGTCAGTGCGTGGTGGGGCTGGAATTCAAACAACAGCTGTCTGGCTTCCAAATCTACTGCCTCTCTAGAGGCTTCTTTGAGAAGCACTTCTTGAGTGACAGATAATACACGGAGTTTCTCAAAAGCCTCTCCACAGTTCTTTCATAATTTGGAGTAAGAACCGAGACAAATAAGACACTGCACGAAATAGTCCAGTACAGAAAAACTGTAGAGATGGTGAAAAGAGCAGTAATGTCCGGGGCTCAGGGGATGGCGGAGGATGAACAGGCAAAGGAGGGGGCATTGTTAGGGCAGTGACACCATTCCGTACGGTCCTGCAATGGTGGACATAGGACACTATGCGTTTGTCAAAACCCACGGGGCTGTAGGACACAAAGAGTCACCCCTAATGTAAATATGGACTTTAGTTAATGACAGTTCATCAATATTGGTTCACCAACTGTGACAAATGCACCACACAAATGCAAAATGTTAATAATGGGGGGGGGACTGGGAAGTCTGTACTTTCTGTGCAATTTTTCTGTAAACCTAAAACCGCTCTGAAAAATAAAGTCTACTTAAATTTTGTTCTCTTTAAAAAGAAAGATGGTCAAATCCTGTTCACCAGGACAGCGGGCAAAGGTTAGGAAACACTGACCCCACAAGGGCCAGCTACAGAGATAAGAAGCAGTGGTTAACTGTATTCTTTTTCAGCCTCATACCTCCGCACTCCCCAAACTCAAACATGGTCCTGGCCCAAGCGAAGCAGACTTTTAAAATCTGCCTAACGTTCTAAGTTACATGGAAACAGTACAAAGTACTTTGGGTCACAAAGAGTGCGTGTTGCACAATACATTTCCCGTTGCTATATAATTTTGCAATAAATAAAAGCCTGAAGTTTTGCACCTTGCTTAGGTTTGCTGTTTTGTTTTTTTATTATTTGTTGGTTTATTTATTTATCATTTACGTGACTATTTAACAGGGTCCCACTAATTGAAAGGGTTGTAGGTATGTCATGGCACCAGGGAGACAGGTTAATGCCACCATCTGACCCTTAACTACTGGACTTCCTCATTTAAGGGAGAAGAAAACAGCAAGATTAGCATCATTTGATAGTAGGGTTTTTTGTTTTTTTTTTAAATGTCCATAGTCAGAACTCTTTCAGAGAAATAAAAGTGCTCGACTGCATTTATTATGTATGTAAACCCATCACAATGGGTACGGAATGCAGGAATAAAACAAAAAATTGACTGTTTACTACGGGAGCACAAAGTCATTTAAAATTTTACTATTAAAAGGAGAAAAAAAAAAATTCTGCCCATTCACGCTGCCTAAGAGCATGAATAGGCTTACATTAGCCTTGAGTTGCATTCCACTCGTTACAGAAAAGCAAAAATCTTCAGCCGGGCATGAGAAAATCTTCTCTTCTTCTATCCCTGGCTCAAGATCTTAAACTAAAATTAATACCTAAACAATTCATCCTTCAGCAGAGACACATTAAGAAAAAACTTATTCCACAAAAGGAAGTTTCTCGGGAAATAATGGACGAATTACAGGATTCCTGCGGAAGAATACCCGCCTCATGGGCGAATTTCTAATCCGGACCACAGGAACATTTCCCTGAGGGTTGAACAAGCATTTAAGGACCCAGTACTTAGGTTCAGCTCAAACAGACAACGCTGGGAACTAGCAAAGGGAGAAACAAGCAGGTTCACTGTGAAGAAATGAGGCTTCCTGAGTCCATGTGCGGTGCAAAGGGCTAACGTGCTCAGCTGCTAACCCAAAAGTTGGCAGTTGGAGAGTCTACCCAGAGGTCACTTGGAAGAAAGTCCTGGTAATGTACTTCCAAAAAATCAGCCAACCACAACCGTATGAAGTTTTACTCTGACACGCGCGGAGGTGCCATGAGTCGGAATGAACTCCAGGCAACTGGTGCTGAGGCTTCCTAGTCAGGGCCTCTCACGTGCACCAGCCCCTTTCAAGGCCTTGTTCCTCATTTTGTTTTCGTTATTTTCTTTTTCTTAAAGAGGACTCCCCTCCAAAAAAAAAAACTGTATAAACTCCAGATCGCAGGAAATCTGGATTTACTTTTCCCTCTGGACAAAACCACCCAGGCTCCATGATTCTGGAAGGCCTAGAGGCATGAGATGTGCCATGCGTATTTCAGAATCATGGAGCCTGGGTGGTAATTGGGCCCCTGCAGGGCCGTAGAGAGGGTGACGAGCACCCAGGGGGCAATCTTTAAGTTGCGTCCCTCCCCACCCAATTTTAAAATGAACAGACCGTTGTTCACAGCGACAGGTCAGCAGAAACACCTTCCCCCTTCTCGTCTGGCCGTCTCAGTCAGGCACCTTCCATATTCATGGCGCCTCAGAACGTCATGCCGGGGCTCAGCTGGCACCCCTTTGGACTTGCACCAGGAGGCAAGCGGCCCCTTCTATCCCCCTTGCTAGGCATCTGTGCCCCTGTCCAAACATGTGACACCCATCTTTTAGATAACTTTGCCATAATAATAAACTCATTGCCATCAAGCCGATT